TAAAGACTTGGGCAAGCGATAAATGTAAAGAAGACAAGATATACATGGTTCACCCTTCATGAATGGGCTACGTCCACGGAGAAGTATGTTCTCATTATAATAGTGTATGATTACATTTGTACATGGGGTTGAACCCGAATATAAAGATGACAAGTGAGATGCCTAGGTCAAGGATCTAGAAGAGAGTCCCCGGCCCTAGGGTCTAGCTCTGAGACCCGGATCCTCTTCCAAGTGGAGAGAAGAAGTCCCCTTTTCACATGGATACTATTCCCTCTTTATAGGGAGGTGAAAGTGGGAGGTTTGTGTAGATTTCCGATGTGGGACTTTGTGCAAGTCGCTGTGGTGGTGACACGTGTCATGGTGTTGATGCTCTTGGTGCTAGTTGCTTTGATGCTGGATATGCTCGGTTGATTATTGTGTAAACAAGAAACACAAACATCAAAAATCAATCAAACCAAGACATCAAGAATCAAACACAGCTGCATCAAACCCAAACATGAAAAATCAATTAAACCCAAAAATCAATCAAACCCATCCCAGCTTCTGCATTTTCACATATTCCACAGGAGATGAAAGTTTTCATCAGCTCATGACTGCAACTTTGTGTGCATCTGCTCCATTTGGATTTAGTAGAAGGGCAGCAACTAGAGATTTAGTACAAGCCATAATAAATAATAGTTGAAGTTTAATGAATCAAAGGTGAATCAGATTTGGGGAAATAGAAGAAATCAAATAAATTTGGGATTTCTAAGAAGAGGGTTCTCAAGATTCAAGCATGTGAATAAGAGAAATCAGTCATGATACTATGTTAGAATTGAGCCAAACAGAAAGAAAATGAACTAGAGAGAAGGGTAGGTGAGGTATTAGGAAGAAGGGGAAGGAGTGTCGTGAAGGAGGCGCATTAATTTTTCCCCTTGCTTTTAACCTGTTAACCAACACAACCGTTTTCCCTTGTTTTAAAAACACCCCCATGTGAGTTTGCTGTACCGATACAGCCGATGCACCACAAAAGGACTGGTGTGGTCCACCAAGCGAGAAAGCAAGAAGAAGACGGGGTTTAAATGAAAAAGGTTAACGATTCCAAATCTACAGAGGGAATCATTCTGGAGGGCATTATTCACATGGGCTTTGTCCGCGGTCCGCCTATACGCTGGTGAGAAAGACTTGTAATTTGACATCCACGATTGATTTATAGGGTTCCTTCCAGGCATTTATAGAAAATAGGTCTTTTGGTGTGGCCTTCAAATTGGTAAGGCAGGTCACCATTTCAAGTTTTGTTTGACTTTTATGCCTACCTACTCACTCTGCGGTATCCATCTCCCGTATGGATTAGAATTAAAAGATTATTTTCCGAAACGTCCGTTCGCCGACGCCTCATTCTCTCTTGTAATATGGCCACGAAATCCATGAAATAAAAACCTACAAACTCTCTGGGATCCATCTCCCGCATGGATTAGAATTAAAAGATTCTTTTCCGAACGTCCGTGAGCCAACCCACCGTGGCACCAGACAAAAACCATGGCCACGAAACCCACACCACACCGCCGCCGGCACATCATCACCCTCTTCTTCTTCCCCCAACCCCTTCTCATCGTCTATATAACCATCCCACATCTCCTCACCACACTCTCACAACCACAAACCACACCCACTTGCCCCCTCCCAAGAACTTCTTCAAGTTTTCATCTGGGTTTTTTGATTGAACCCGACATCCAGGCCATCCTGTTGCAGAAACAGGAAGGCGAGGAAGGCGAAGAAGGTGTTTGATAAGCTTTTCTCTTCGGGGGTAAAACCCAGGTTCGAAGAGTTGTTGACATCACGGCTATACACGGAGTTCCTCGGCCGCTCATTCATGTCCGGGCTGTCTGACGAAAGGGTTGTGTAGTTGAGAGCAACCCTTCGCCGCACGACAGGCGTGGTGCTTTGCCTTCCGAAGACGGTAGCCCGTCCGACCTTCTCTTTCTTGCTGGTGGTGGGTCTGCTTCCTCTCTTTTTTCCTTCTGCTTTTATTAGCTCTAGTGTCTGTTTAGATTTTAAGAGATTTTTAGAGATTTTTCCTTCTGAGCCCAAGAATTCAATGCCTATAGAAAGCCACTTAAACACACAACCCAATAGAAATTTATGACAACGAAGTTTTTCTTTCAAAGTTTTTTCTTCTATTAGAATTAATTTGGTTCGAATTTTAACAATAAAAAGAAGTGTAAACTTGAACCAAACCATAATTAATTTGGTTTGATTGGAATGGACCTATACTAATCTTATTATTTTTTGGCACTGGGCTCCTATATATACAGGAATGGAAGGAAGAAGACTCTCACAAAACCCCAAGAAACTCATTACAGAATCGCCTCCTCCATATTAAAGAATCCAATAGCAACAGCCTCTCTCTGCCAACCAGCCTACGTACTCATTTTCTTTCCATTCCAAGACACCAAGATCATCTTTCATCTTCTCTTCTCAACAAAAGTCGAAGAGGAACCTGCTACATAGCTTATATATGGCACCTCGTGAATTTGTTTTTAATCTTCCAGTTGGTTATACATTTCGTCCAAGTGATGATCAGTTATTGGAACATTATCTTTTAAAGAAGAATAGTGGCGAACCCCTTCAGTATGAAAATGTCATTCCAGAAATGGATCTTTATGGTAAGATAGAGCCATGGGATATATGGCATGAATGTGGTGGACACAAATTAGCCAAAGGTGAAGACCTTTATTTCTTCACCAAATTGAAGAGCCTGGGTGACAAGGACACCCGCGTGGCTCGCACCATAGGGTCCGGGACATGGAAAGGTGAGAACTCAGGGACCACAGTCAGTGATCCGAACAATAAGGAGAAAGATTTAGGTATATGGAAAAGGTTTCATTATGAAAACCCTAAATCTGTTCAAGACGGTTGCTGGATTATGCACGAGTACAGCCTTCACCCTTCATTGGTGAAGACCAAATCAAACTCAACCAATCAGTTTGTGCTGTGCCGGATTCGAAAGAATGACAGGGGGAAGGGAAAGTTGACAACTGCAGAAGAGGATAATAAAACTGACACTCCAGTACAATCTCAAAATAAGAGGCAAAGGCCGCAACAAGTGACTAGCTTTGAGGAACTTATTGGTGATTGCACTCCCATGTCTAAGGCTACTGGAGTTGGTGGGAGTGTGTCATACTTGCCAACTGAACTCACTCAATCTCAGCCGGACAGATCTTTTGCATGCCCAACAACTGTGGTCTCTTCCCAAGCTAGGGAAAACTACACTGAGACTCAACAAGCCTTGGGATTGTACGCAGTTTGTAACCAAGAGAGGGCTTCAGATATTTATGAGACTCAACAAGGCCTGGGCCTCATTGACAATGATATTGGATATTGGCCTAGTCCATTTGGTAGTGAAGAAGACCAAGTCAATGCGCTCGACTTCTCGATTGATTATGATTTACTCAACCACTTGATCAACTGTGATGATGGTCCGCCGCAATCTTCCACAGCACAGTTTATGGGAATGGGAATGGAGAACACTTCTACTGCAATTAGTGAAGCTAATATGGTCATCATAGATTGACCAATTAAGTAATGTACATGTACCACGTTTACAATCAATCAATCTTTTTCTTCACTGGGTTGAAATTAGATTAAATTTATGTATGTTTCTACAAGTAATATAGAAAATGCAGGTTCTTTGGTTATAAAAAGTTCAGAGATCAAAATGCAAGTAGCCAAATATCATACCGTAGTACACACTTTGGTATTAGAGAGTTTACTTTGTTAATTTGTCCAGTGATCACTTCGGTGTCTGTTGTCAGATGTACGTGGCCAATTTCCTTCTTCATTTTTTTGTTGTTGTTGGAGCTCTGCAAACAAAAGTTATTTTATATCAGGAGGATTTATTTAACTCTGGAGTTATCAAAGGCCTGTGGTCAAAGTGTCCCTGAAAGTCGTGGTACAGAACTTCGTTGAAAAATTATATAGATTGAGGTTGAATCATTTAACACTATTATGAGAAAAATTGAATTAATTTTTCTTGACGATGGGTTTGCATGTTCATGATTTTGTAATTGATCACATAAGAGGAATTTGAATAAAGAAGTGTCTCTGGTTTACTTTGAAAGAACATTTTATTCTGTTTATATTGATCAAATGTCTCTGGTTTACTTCCCACCTAAGTAAGCTCTCTAGAGTGTGTATGGTATGATAGTTTGTTTAGCTTAGCAAAATGGCATAAAATTGGCCACTTATATCTGATAACCACCTTGAGAGGAACATAAAACGGACAAAAGTCACGCAATCCTATTCACAATCCTCCTCTTTAGTTTCAAATTCACAATCCTGTTTGCACAGCTTTCCATCAATATACCAAAACTGAATAATGTTGACCACTATTGTATCGAAGACCATCAGGGATTAAGGCCTGTTTGGTTCAAGGAGTCAATAGTACAAGTAGTTAAGTGGTTACAAGAATAGATACTTCAACGTAAATTTACAGAAATACGTGAACAACGAAAATAGGAATGCAAGAACCAGGCTTTTTTTTTTTTTCTTTCTGGTACATTGCCATGTGATCTAGTTCATCATCTACCCTAATCCTAACCCTGACCCTTTTCCATATTCCCTTACTACCTGGGCTAGCCCCAAACCTTATTAACATGTTCAACGTTTACTATGTAAACTACTGCAATGAACAGGAGTTCAATCAGACTGAGCACTTTTTTGTTCTCTTTGAGCTCCTACTCATTACATCTAACTAATGTTAAAGAACCTAGACATTCTTGTCTAAAGTTGGCTGGGAGACAACTGAATTAGATTTAGCATAGACTAAACAGAGAGCCTAGAGTTTTAACTTTTAATATATGGGTGCCATTCTCTTTCCGTTACATCAGAATTTAATTCGGGAAAACGCAGTCCTTCAAGCAATGAACCGTGATGACCATTGACCACATAAAACCTTCCCACTCATCAGAAAATAGACAATACAATTACTATAGTAGATTATGAGACCTTCAAAAATCATTCCTCAGTTTATTTGATGCATTTTGAGCAGCATGTCAATTGAACGGTACAAAATGATTAAAGAGGATTGTTAGAAAGTACGCTACTAAATTACGTTCTTTAAAGGTATACGAACAATAATAGATACTCATGTTACTAAATTATCGTGTCAAATGACACCATAACTCCTAGACTGGAACACATGGACTCAAAATCATACAGTTATCGCATCCTTAATAGGCTCTGCTAGAGTTCCATCAAATTCAAATCATATTAGCTCCAGAAAGTAATCTCATTCGGGAAATTGACAACATCCAATAAAAGACAATACGGCATATACTATTCAAGAACAACTGGTGCATCTACATTATCACCATCGAGCTTGTCTAGAAATTCAGATGGGATATCACTTCTGAGAATTTGGACTATGAATACTAGCCTAGTACTGAACATGTTGGAAATCACGGTCATCACAGTCAACGCCAATCAAAGCTTGATTTGTGGATCGAATCTCAGTGAATAAATCAAATTGTAATTGTTGTAATTAAGTCCTAAAGTTTAGATGTTTGTCCGTCAGTTTACCTTTTTTAGACTAGACGTGCTGCTTTATAACCATGTATACGAGTTGTACAGACACACAAGAAAATATAGAGAAACCTTTCTCATTCTTTTCTCCATTATCAGTTTCTTTATGGTATCAGAGCACCATCCTGGTGCCTGATATTGCTCACTTTGCTTCCGCCAATATCATTGACCACCATGACTGAAACTTTATTAGAGAAGAGGTTGACAGAGGTTATGGATTTCAACGATCCCTATTATATTCACCCTTCAGATCACACTGGGCACACTATCGTCACTCGACCCTTGGAGGGTGACAACTACGCGACGTGGAGTCGCGCCATGATGATGTCTCTGGAAGCTAAGAATAAGCTTGGCTTTGTCGACGGCACAATCAAAGAACCTTCGGCTAAGGATCCCAAATATGGAGCTTGGAGAAGATGCAATCAGATCGTGAAGTCGTGGATCCTCAATTCAATCAGCCCAACCTTGACCAATACCGTGATCTTCTCCAACACAGCCACTGAAGTCTGGGCAGATCTTAATTAACGGTTCTCACAAGGGAATTTTTCCGTATTTTTGAACTCAAACGAGGTATCGTTGAGCACCGTCAACAACAACAGTCCATAGCTGTCTACTATACAACGCTCAAATCCTTTTGGGACGAACTGGGATCGTACAACGATCCACCTTCATGTAACTGCGCAGGTTTGAAGCAGATTGCTGAACGGGAAGAGAAGGAGCAGATCCTCCAATTCCTCATGGGGTTGAATGACACATATTCTGCCATTCGTGGACAAATCCTTTTGATGCAGCCACTTCCCAATATTAGAAAAATCTACTCACTCTTACTCCAAGAAGAAAAACAGCGGCAGCTTGCTGATGCTCGTGACGGCCCTATTCATGCCATGAACGTGAAGAAAAGCACAAAGAACAGAGAATAGGCAGCCTGCAAAATCACAAGACAAAGGGAAATCCTTGTATTGCACATACTGTGAGGGTGATACACACACAGTTGATCGCTGCTACTACATCATCGGCTTTCCACTAGGACACAAGTTCCATGGCAAAGCAATTAAGCCACCAAACAGGAACAAGCGCTTCACAGCCAATAATGCTCACAGCACGACCAAACCCACCACTGCAGAGAATGCGCATCAGAACTTTCCTCAATTCACAGAGGAGGAGTACAATCAAATAAGGGCCTTACTTGGTAAAACCCAGTTTTGTGGAAATGTGACAGGTAAACCCAATCCCAAATGTTATACAGCCTGGATTATTGATAGTGGTGCAAGTGATCATATATCCTCATCCTCTCATCTTTTGCATCAAACACCTTACCATGACACTGTTGGTTTACCTAATGGCTAACACATAGATATCCTATCTGTCGGTTTAGTACAAGTTAATCCAAATTTATTCATAAAAAAATGTCCTTCATGTACCTTCCTTTCAGGTCAATTTACTCTCAGTCAGCAAAATTACTCGTGATTTGAGTTGTATCGTCATTTTTCATCCTAACTTTTGTATCTTACAGGACCTGAAAACGATGAAGGTGATTGGCCTGGGGAAGGAGCATAATGGTCTCTACTACCTGTCCAAACACACAGCCATCAAGCCACCACCAGAAATGGCATAAAATGGCATAAGCTCTCTAGAGTGTGTATGGTATGATAGTTTGTTTAGCTTAGCAAAATGGCATAAAATTGGCCACTTATATCTGATAACCACCTTGAGAGGAACATAAAACGGACAAAAGTCACGCAATCCTATTCACAATCCTCCTCTTCAGTTTCAAATTCACAATCCTGCTTGCACAGCTTTCCATCAATATACCAAAACTGAATAATGTTGACCACTATCTTATCGAAGACCATCAGGGATTAAGGCCCGTTTGGTTCAAGGAGTCAATAGTACAAGTAGTTAAGTGGTTACAAGAATAGATACTTCAATGTAAATTTACAGAAATACGTGAACAACGAAAACAGGAATGCAAGAACCAGGCTTCTTTTTTTTCTGGTACATTGGCATGTGATCTAATTCATCATCTACCCTAATCCTAACCCTAACCCTTTTCCATATTCCCTTACCACCTGGGCTAGCCCCAAACCTTATTACATTGTTCAAATTTTACTATGTAAACTACTACAATGAACAGGAGTTCAATCAGACTGAGCATTTTTTTGTTCTCTTTGAGCTCCTACTCATTACATCTAACTAATGTTAAAGAACCTAGACATTCTTGTCTAAAGTTGGCTGGGAGACAACTGAATTAGATTTAGCATAGACTAAACAGAGAGCCTAGAGTTTTAACTTTTAATATATGGGTGCCATTCTCTTTCCGTTACATCAGAATTTAATTCGGGAAAACACAGTCCTTTAAGCAATGAACCGTGATGACCATTGACCACATAAAACCTTCCCACTCATCAGAAAACAGACAGTACAATTACTATAGTAGATTATGAGACCTTCAGAAATCATTCCTCAGTTTATTTGATGCATTTTGAGCAGCATGTCAATTGAACGGTACAAAATGATTAAAGAGGATTGTTAGAAAGTACGCTACTAAATTACGTTCTTTAAAGATATCCGTACAATAATAGATACTCATGTTACTAAATTATCGTGTCAAATGACACCATTACTCCTAGACTGGAACACACGGACTCAAAATCATACCGTTATCACATCCTTAATAGGCTCTGCTAGAGTTCCATCAAATTCAAATAATATTAGCTCCAGAAAGTAATCTCATTCGGGAAATTGACAACATCCAATAAAAGACAATACGGCATATACTATTCAAGAACAATTGGTGCATCTACATTATCACCATCGAGCTTGTCTAGAAATTCAGATGGGATATCACCTCTGAGAATTTGGACTCTGAATACTAGCCTAGTACTGAACACACATGCATCTCCAACCTTCAAACTGTTGTCAATGGCAAACGCTCTCCAGTCATCAAGCCTTTTATGACTGGACGATCCATGATATATCATCTCCCAGTTCTTGCCCCGAAATGTGAGAACCGTACGGATTGAACAGGAAGTAGTGTTGCACTAAATTTGCCTAGGACCACCTGCTCGAACAGATGATTATTTCAACGAATTAGACTAATTAAAGCAAAGAAAATGATAATCCCAAATTAGGGGATTAGCAATGCACAACATTATTGCCTACAATTGTAAAGAAAACGAAAGTTTCAGCAGTAGCCAAATTATTTTCATACTGTTTGTACCAAAATTTTCGATTCAGGGGTTAACACATACAATTGTAGAATAATTGAGAACTGACCGGATTTTGAATCAAAAACCGAATCAAATGAAAATGTTCGGTCCCCAACGGATAATGTATGCGGAGAAACCTTCTTAACCGTCCGATCTCCCCAATTTTCACCATCTCTAGTAGGTCTAATTCTCGCCACAACCTATACAAATTTCGAAAACCCAAAGAAAATAAGAAATTAAAAATTAAAAAAAGTAAAAATTATAAGTTCAAAAGTTCAAATACCTTCACTGATGGGTCCGGAGGTGGCAGGATTCCACCGTCACCGTCGGATGGATCAGTCTCACTCTGAAGATCAAACAATTCCAAAAGTAAATTTCTAATTCATAATTATTATCCACATTACAAATATAGAAATACTAAGTTAAGGCTATATTGGATAAGAAATATCAACAAAATTTCAAAAATACCTTCACCGGTGGGTCGAGAGTAGCGGAGGGTTGTTTCTGGATGTCCGATGGGGCGACCTCGGTGATCCAAGATTTGGATAAATCGGAAAGTACTGGCTTGGTTGCCGAGGCAGAGTCGTTGTCTACGTACTTGGTCTGGACGTTAGGATCGAGGGGAGGGGTATTTTCGGCATTAGAAGAAGGGTTTCGAGAGCTGAAAATGGATTTGTTGGGCTTTGTGGAAATGGATTTGGGAAGGAGGTTTCGAAGCGATGAAGTGGAAATGTTCCCTATGAACCAAGACTCGCTGGTGCTTGCTGGGTTGCTGTTCTTGGTCCTCATTGTTCTGAGATCGATGGATCAAGCGAGCAAGAGAGAGAGAGAGAGAGAGAGAGAGAGAGAGAGAGCGTTGTACAGAATTTGAATTTGAAATTGTTTGAAAGAGAGAGGGAAGAGAGAGTTGCCATTTTATGTGGATAAGAGTCACATACTTGTTATCTGGGGAGACAGCGCAGATGACCGTTAGTTTTGAATTGCCACCAATTGCTTCTTGCAGTAAATGAGTTAAGCAAGAAGCCTTATATGGCACATCTTCAGATTTTCCAGACTGAGGCCCTTTTGCAAGAGTATTTACCAAAAGCCTGTACCAAAATAACAACATTAATCATTACAGTTGCAGCACTGGCCAGAGGACAACTGATCAAAAAAGTTTATTACACAAAGTTTTGTGCTATTTCCATAAATTATATTGTTGTGTGACTCTAACTTCGACAACAATTATTTGATGCTTAAGAATGTAAAAGTGATGATAGCAAACTTTGTTTCTTACAATGTCATTAAGAATGCATTTCCTTGTACTGTATCAATACTATTACCCTGTAAGTTGTCTACAATAAGGCATCTGATGGAATATAAAGGTTATGGAATCATACCCAAGCTGTGACAAGGACTTCTTTACATATTTGTCTTCCCTTGCACATTGTCTACCTGAGTCATCAACTTTATTTCTATCTAGGCCAGCAAGATCAATAAAGCTCATTCTGCTTGTTTTTGAACTACCAAAACACTTGGATGAGGTCTCCTGCAGAATAAAGTAATTAAGCACTGTTAAGTGATAGACACAAAACATAATCATTCAAGAAACAATAAAGGTTTTGAACTGTAATGAGTTACCATATGCAATGATACCTTACACCATGACTCGATGATGAAAGTACAAACAATATGGGACCTAGAGCTCTTAGAGTTCATGCTAGTTGCTCCAACTTTTCTACTTAAAAGCCCCTGTTCCATGAACAGAATAGTTGATGAGTACAAAGGAAAAATCCAGAACAAAAAAAAACCAAGATAAGTTCTCAGTTAAAAAGAATGCACATATACAAATCCTACCTTAATCAGAATTTGTGTCACATCCTCATAGCTAGTCACATACTCCTCAGTCAGGTTCTCAACATACACTCCATTTTTGGGATCATCCTTGATCTACAACAGTTTAAAGCAAAGCCCATTTGTATCTTAGGCAAATACTAAAGAACCAAAAAAGGAACAAAAAAACATCAGTGAAAGAACTATAACAGTATAGAAGATCTCTACCTCAAGGTTCCTCAGGGTTGGATCAAGTAAATCTCCTATTTGTTCGTTGTATATCTGTGATAAAGACAATATTAACAAAACACATTGTCAGAATCCTACCCTATGTGTTTCAAAAAGAATTTAGAATAGTAAAATAAGTATACCTCAAGACAAGAACAATGGAACTGGTAATTTAACTGATAATTCAAGTCCTCTGACTTTTGTGTCACGTAGGATTAATTATCTTTTTTTTAATTTATGAGGTTTATATTTTATTTTCTTAATTTTTTAATTTTTGTTGTGCTTCCAATTTTGCCCCTAAGATATAAATCAGGTAAGCTTAAAAACAACAAAATTGCAAAAATCACGTTAAACAATCCTCAGACAACAATAACAGAAACAATCGCAAAAATTATATCTTCCACTATCAATTATGTACCTACAGCACCTATCGTATAGGTAACCTCCTATCGTATAAGTAATCGCCGACACTGTACCTATATCACAGGTATATGCCAAATGGTTACTTGTGCCATAGGTACACACTCAAGAGGCTACCTGTCGGTTAGGTTCTACGTGAAGTGCCATATCAAGTCACAAAGTGATAGTTCTTACCATTGACAGATTGTGGTAGAGAAACTGTATCATAGGTATAGTTTCAGAGATTACCAATACAACAAGTTCTAGTTGAG